ACCGGTGAGATCGAAGAATCGCCCTGCGGGTCCCGCGAGCTGCGTCATCTCACGGGCAAGCTGGCGGCGGAAGGCTACTCCATCCTCAGGCACAGGGCGGAGGCATTCAGGGAGCACTTATACATAAATTAAAACCATTCACCACGCCAAATGACCCAGAGCAAAAGCTCCCTGTACATACGACCCGGCCAGGACCTAGCCAGGTGCCACGTTTGGTTGACAGAAGTCCTCTAAAAGTCTTGCGAAAAAAACATAAACACTTTGGCCTACCGAGCCTACCGTGTAGGGACCCCCAGACTCTGTCCCCAGCCTAATGCTAGCCAGACCCCTAAGTTTTTCGGAAAGGGGGGCTTAGGGGTAAAAACTTCTATGAGGCCAACTGGCTGGTCAAGTGCCCATGCCTGATTTCCTAACCAGGCTGCAAGCTCATGTTTCACTGCGCCGGGGGTCGTCCCGCAGGGACGACAATGCAAGCTGGAAGGGAACTTTGCAGATGGATTTCTACTGGCATATGCTCAAGAGTGACCCAGTCAACTTCTTCATAAACGGCTCTCAGCCCTTCCTTATCCATCCCGGCACAACCACGATCACCAGACCCCTCTCCCTCAACGATGCAAGACTCCTCGCTGGTGCAGCAGTCGCTCACAGAAGGAGTCGAAGCGCCTGCAGTGGCAACATTTGAGCACTGTCTGGGGGAGTTCTCAGGCTGTGGGTGAGGAACTACGGTCCTTGGAGCTTGCGCGCAGGGAGGCTTATCATTCTTAAGGTGTTTGGGATTAAGACAACCACTAAAGACAGGCGGGCTCGGGTCACCGGCGCTGTCGTGAGCAATTGCAGCAGGCGCCCCGAACCCAACTGGTATCGATGCCGGAAAATGCAAGCGCCGGCCGGCTTTAGAGAAGGCCGCCCCCCTGGCTGAAAGTGGGCGTTCATTGCAATCTGAAAAGGTAAGCTGTCCACTTGAAGACAGGCGTGCCATACACGTGAACAAGGGCTGGTTGGCAGCTTGCTTAGGGATACGCTCAGACCTGGGACTGTAGGCGCGCAACGCAAAGTCTACATCCTGCCGGGGAAGCACTCTCAACTTGTATCTATAGGTTCCAACATCAACCTGAGTATAACGAGTATGCTTCATGATGATCTGGAAATGCCGGCGCCTGTCTCCTTAAGTCACTGCAGACTGCGGAACTGATTTCTTAGGCTTGTCTGAGGTATTCCTTGGGGGGCTATGGGCTATAGCTATGTTCCTTCTTTTGGGGGTGGCGTTTAGGGCTCAGGTATGCCCTTGGGAACTATAGCTATAATCCGGTCCTTCTTCAGGGGTCACGTTGAAGAACTCGCTGGAGTCGCCAAGGTCAGGGACAAGAGGCATCAACAAGTGCCCGTTGCTTGCTTAGCGCAGGTGAACGTCATGCATGCCGTGCTTTGCACTTGTCAAAGTGCACGTGCCCAAGTCAAGGGTGGCATCCAGACCTTCCTGGAAAGAGGAACAACATAAGTCGCAATTTGTCCCCACAAAGTGCCTATCATGACTGTCCACCTCAGACCCTTGCGTGAAAATGACCGGACGCCATTGCAAACTTCCAGCTACAGGCGGCAACTGAAGCTCTTCAGGGCTTGGCAGGCCACGACTGCGGAAAAACTCATCACACTTGGGGGCTGTGTCCTCCCCGATCGCCGTGCAGCCAGTATCAAGGATAGACATGCCCAGGGGAATTTCCACAGCTATGACTTCAATCTCCGCAGTGTCCTCTTCCGCCTGCGTGGCATAGGCGAACTCGGACACAACTTCGCCACGAACAAAATGAGCTTCTTGCTTGCGGCGTCCACCCTTGCCACCTTTCTTGGCATCTTTCTTGTCGTACTTGAAGGTGGGCTGCGCTGGAAGGTTGTCGGTCGGCAGATGTCCGCCAGGAGATATCGCCGCGACAGGCATGTAGGGCTGCCTGTCCTTCTTGATCTCCCGGACCCGAAGATGGCTCTCCTTGTAATCCTGGAAGCCTTCTTAGCCGTCTGCTTGGCCTTCTTGTAAAGCTCGTAGGTCTCTACGAGCTCCTTCCCGTCCGTTTCCTCGTCCGCCTCGTTGACCTCGTCGTCGCTCAGGTCGGAAGGCTCTTCCACACGGCTATCCTCGGCGGTGAGAACATCTCGGCGAGGAGGACGGGAAGCCCGGGAGTGCTGTCCTGGTTCGAAGGCAGGCACGGCACCTCAAAGTCAGAAGCACGGATCACTCGCTCAATGTCATGGAACCTGGAGCTACCGCCAGTGGAGCGGATGACTTGAGATTGTTGTTCCCGACTCAAGCCATACTTTCTCATGAACAAGTGGCCAAGCACCGTTGCAGGCAACACCGGCTTCAGTGAAGATGATCCACGTCCAGCAACTCGAGGCTCTAGAGTCTAGAGCATCTTGCGGTTGGCTCGCTCATCGTCACCCTTCTGGGTTCCACGTGAACCCCGGGATGAGGGTGCTTTCTTGCTGGCAGAAGGCGACCGTGGCCGGGGGAAAGATACCCGTAGGCCAAAATTCTTAAGAAAGTCAAAGTTGCGCAGATCGCAGATCAGCTGGATGATGCAGAGTTAGAGATGGTAGACAAGAATTTGCCTGAAGAAGCTTATAGAAATTACAGGACGGTTGTCGGGGCGGATACGCCACTGGATGCTGAGCCGACTCCAGAGCAAATTACTGTCATGTACAACAAAGTCATCACGCGAGGTGATGCTCCATATGCAGATTTCTCTGTGCTCACACCATTTGGCCGACATATGCAAAAGCAACTTAAGGCCAAAGGATACTTCTTACAGGAGGATGGCTCCTGGAAGCAAGGAGAATCAAGAAGAGATGCCAGGGCCGCCCAGCTTCCATGCGTGGGCCGCATGCTGGAAGATTTACAGGGTTACGTTGCTGAGTGTCATGACATGTCATGACCTTGTTTGCAAAATCACGAAGTGATGCTGTAAACATGAGGGCATGAAACACGCAGGATCTTCTGGTGGCCATTTTGGCGAAAAGCTCTCAAGCCAGGAAATCTTGTACCCACCCAGCCCTCCCTGGTGCAGTTGCGCTGTTGGAGTTCGGATGCATTGCGTGACGGGTGCCTACTCGAAAAGTGACCCCCCCTGACAGGCATGCGGGTTCTCTGATGGCAGCATGCGCGCTTCGCCCAACTATGTGCAAAAGGACTCTGCATTCAGCCTGCTCGCATCCAGGGCGGAGGGAGGGCAAGTGTCATGACATTGTTTTAGCGCCATTGGTTGTCTCGTCAGCAGCTTTCGGGTCATGAAGCGGAGAATAATTATCGACGACAAGAGATTGAATGCCCGAATGGTCCGTGCTCCATTATAGCTGCAAGAAACAAATCTGTAGATCAGGATTGGAGACATGTTGTTGTTATGCAGTGCTCATGTTGGCGTGAAAAAAGAAACCGGTCAGAAAGAGTCGAGGCAAAGATGTTGCTAGGCTGATGCTGGCTTGATTCTTCAACGCCAGCTGAGGCCGAAGGATTTCCTTCTGCCGCTGCGCCCTTGACCTTCTCTTCGGTGAGCCCTGGCTCCTCGAGCGGTGCACAACTGATGTCGCTGGACTCAGTTGACGACCCTTCAGGATCCTGCTGAGGCTTTCGTCTTTTGGTTCCTTTGTGCACTGCCTTGTCCGCGGCAATGAGCATCTCCAGCCTCGAGAGAACAGCCTTGAAGCGGGAGACAAAAGCTGTGGGTCCCTCTCCGGGCTTCTTTTTCAAGTGAAAGAGGAACTCATCCACACACTCATTCAATTCCGTCTCCGGCAAATAAGCGGTAGTGATCGTCCAGCGCTTGCAGGACTTTCATCCACCCATCCTCGGAGTGCAGTTGATCCACGGATAGGTGCTCCGTGGCACGCCAGGTCTCTCCAGAGATTCTCGCCAATATCTTCGGCCCAGCCAGTCGAACATGCTTCTCCCCAAAGGAAGCAACCCTTAGCAGGATAGGGCGTCTGAAAAGACCATACTCGGAAGGAGCACCACTGAAAATCGCGAAATGAGTCATTTGACTTGTCCGCAGCCATCGTCTCTGCCTGTTAGCAGCCTTGTTCTCACACAACCCTGAGCCCAGATCTGGGCTCCGCTACCATGAAGAACACCCAAATCGCTGGCAGACCGTGAGGAAAAAAAACAATCGATCCTTTTACAGATCGCACCCAGCAGCCATGCGGTTTGCTTCGAGTTAGAAACACCAAGGGCCCTCGCTGCAGCACAAGTAGTGACAAAAGGGCCGAGCATTCTCTGCAAAAACAATTGAGCACCATGTTGATGCTCAAACTCAGCCCGCTTTTACACATAATGTTGCACTACCAATGGTTGGCGCTGGCCGGATGAAAGAGTTGCTAGTCTTGGGATCGGAGTATCAGCATCTGGTCTCGGAAGGCCCTTATGTTAGTATTTGCCCAATCAGTTCTATACTGTTGTACTGACATACTTTCACTCTCTTTTTTCAAAACTTCAGCATACAAAATCTTATATCCCTCTGGTCCGCAGTCCGTCTGGTTGGCTGCATCACGCATATGTACTCCTGATTTCATCCCTTTCGCAGGTGTTCCCTTTGGAGTGGCAGGCTGCCCACCCATGTGACGCATGGGGACCTGTCGGTGAACCACCAGATGCTGTGGAACAAGAATCTATGCGTGTTGGGATTTCAATGTTTCGATGCCATGTTCATTCTTCATTTGTTAATGTAGCTTTGCATCCTGGGAAAATGAAAGCAAAATATTGGCAGGTTGCAGATGTCTCTACTTGATGTCTTTTTCTCTTCTGACTTACGGAAGGCAAGGCTTGCACCTTCCGCCTTCAGTCTTCCATTGGGACAAGTAGTTCTTAAAGGGAACACCCTCGCAAGTATATTAGGACTGTCTTTGAGAGAAGGATAAGGACCCAGATAACCGTGAACATGATAGGCAGCATCAGGATTGTTGAATCATGACTGAGGAAAGACAACAACTCTGGCTTCGATGGCATTCCCCGTGCAATGACCGGTTTGGGCACCAAATTAAAGCAAGCGGGTTATGAAACTCATTACATCGGCAAATGGGATGCTGGCTGGGCCACTCCAGAACATACTCCTCTCGGCAGGGGCTTCGACTCCTTTCTGGGCTTCTTGCAGGCTGAGAACGACTACTGGTCCAAAGACAGAGGGGATTTGCAGTATCTTCTGGACATTTGCCTGAACAAGTTCCGCGACTTCTCTTATTACAATTCTACTTACCGCGGTGGGGTAAGTCCTGCATTGGCCGCAGAGCTCGGTTGCAATGCCACGCTCATCAAGGACAAGCCCTTCAACGAGGTAGGTTGCGACATGGATAATGAAAGCAAATGTCTTCCGGACAGTTGCTATGAAGAGGCCATGTTTCTCAAGCATGCCAAGCAGATTTTAAAAAAGTTCGATTTCAAAAATCGTTCCAAGCCGCTCTTCATGACCTTTGCGCATCACTTGCCACATGCTCCTATGAACGTGCCGAAGTCCTTCCTGCAGAAGTTCTTGGGTGGATTGGTAGCCTTGTTGACTTTTGATTTCGTTAGATGCTGAGAAGAGAGAGTCGCAGGGTGATGCAGGCCCTTGGCTTTTTGACCGCCCAAATAGCATGAAAGAAGTTTCCGAACGTCAACAGTCCCAGAGCTCTGCCTGCGGCTGCGGGTTTGTTTAACTTTGATACGAAAGAGCCACCTTATGAGCACCTGAGATAGAGGTGTCATGTAGGCGTCAGGAATTATGTGGAACCAACTGACTCTGAAGTTGCGTTTGGAGTGGTGTATGGAATTGTGTACTGGACGAGAGCAGCATAACAGTTAAGTACTGGCAGCATCTGGCAGTGAAAGGCTCGATGAGCTGGTGTCTGCAACTGGTGTGCCCCAGATATTTCCGTGGACGTTGAAGCGCAAAATCCTTTCTGCAGGCTTGTTTTAACGGGCATAGGCAGGTAAAACTCAGACAATGGTAAAAATATTACTATCACTAGTAGAACTAAGAACTATTATTTTCATTTTTCTTACTACAATGACTGTAGGACACAGTTGTTGAATTTCCCGGCAATTATGGCCATGTCGCGACTGGGTCCCACCCATATAGCATACACCGCAACTCAAGTGCTCTTCTTAGCACAATACCCAACAAGGGTCCATGCCTGTTGAGCTTTATCTGGGCTTCATGTACTGGTGCTGAGTCAAGAGTGGGGCGCGAATGCTCACAGTAATCCTACAACAGCACCTATACCACTCCCCCATTCCCCCTTCAGCACCAGCAAGTTCAGGATGGGTGTTCATGTCTCAGCTTTGTGAACTACTGTACACCTCTTAGCTAAAACAACTTTGCGACTACTGCCATCACCCGAAAAACATGCAGCAATTCGTAGCATTGACATGGCTAATGTTATTATGTTTGTGCGTTCTTGAATTTGGCTACAGTTGTCATGATCTGTTATTGACCATTCAGGGCCAGCCTTCAAGTTGACCTGTACCATCCAACAAAGCCCTCGCTTCAGGTTTGCTCTACTTGGATACGGTGGTTGGGGAGCTTGTGAGCGTCTTAAAGGAGCCATGGGTCGGCGAGAGTCTCAAGGTTTACAGCGTAAATGGTGCGCTTTTTAATGGGATTTAGATTTTATCGGGGGTGGCCTTCAGTTGATGGCCTTTCGAGTTCAGGGGAATTAGAACTGGAGTTTGCACTCCCTGTCAAGACTGCTTCGGCTAGGAATAGCCGTTGGCGGGAGCGACCCCCAAAACGCGGAAAGAATCGGAAATAGGCGGTGTTGGAGCACATTTCAAGGGAAAGTAAGTGGTAGGGACCCTGAAGGAAATGTTGTTGAGGCCTATTGGGGATTTGGGTTTGGAGAGCCGGCCCCTGATCAACCCCCATGACTTGAAGGAGCAAGGCATCTATGAAGAGACACTAATTGTTTTTCTCTCCGACAATGGTGCCGCTGCCAATCTGCGCCAGAGCTCGCACAACTACCCGCTGAAAGGGGGCAAGTATGCAGACTGGGAGGCAAGAGACTACCAACATGCGCGCTATGTTTTCTAGGTACTTGTCCCAAATTCAGATAGCGCAGCCCATGAATTCATATGAAACTTCCCAACTTCCAGCGTATCATGTAAAGACAACATACTTTCCTGCGAGTATGCACTCGTATACCTCAGGTGTGTGTCCTTAAATGCTCCTTCCCTCAACAAAGCGGGAATGTTGACTAGGGGTTGGTACTAGTATTCAGAGGGAACATTACGTCCAGATGTATCCATCAGGGCTGCTGCAGTGTTTCCTATGGTCTTGTGCAGGCTTGACGTAGGACCTCATGCAGATACATCAGCTTTGAGGCTTGAATTCCTTATCCAGCTAGGGGTTGTGCAACAGAGCCCTCTCAGGTAGTAATTTTGTTTGCAAATATACTCACCCAAAGCATTTCGAAAGTGGTCAACTAATCTATTAACGGAGACTCAAAACTACATTCCTCAGTGATTGGTGATTAAGCCAGAGATTTTCGGTCCCTGCCAGGGGGGCTTGCGAACCAATGCCTTTGTTTCTGGCGGGGCCATCCCGCCTACTCACCGGGGCAACAAGTGCCTGGGTGACTGCTGAAGTCAAGGACTAGAAGTTGGAACGTGATTTTTCGGCCCCAAGGGCCCCTTTAGGCACTACATTCAACAATTGAGAGCAAGGAAAAAGCCACGGTTTGGGTTCTTTTCGTTTGCCACGTCAAGTAAGGATCCTTCCCGGATCCTAATCAACCGAGACCCTAAAAAGCGTAACGAGCCTCAAGCTTCGCCGACTACTGAACCCCTGGCATTTGTACATAGTCTTGATGCGGGGCTTTGTTTTGGACCGTTGCCGTTGCCTTTGGCGCCAGCGCCAGAAAGGTTCCACGGCGTGTTCCACATTGCGGACTGGTATGCAACTCTTAGCAGCCTGGCAGGCGTGGATTATGAAGACCATGCCTCTGCAGACGCTCATTCTTTCCGTGAGCTTTCCTTGATTTTGTTCTTGCAAGCGTTGGGGAGTTACCGGTACTCTCCTAGAGTCTGGTCAAACCACAGTGTTGAGCGGGGCTTGAATGGTGTGCGGTTCGAATGTGAGCACATTGGAGCCGGATCATCATCAGATTGGACAGGCTATCAACCATCCAATCAAATCATGGTTAGCTTAGATTGGTCTTAATAGAGAGCGAGCCGTGGCCTGAATGACTTCGTTCATGACCTGCCAGCCATGTATCCAAAGAGAGAAACCTCCTGCAGATGGCCATTGAAACTGCAGCCTACTAGGTTCCCAAGAATGACTTCGGAAACATGTAAGGAGGCGAACCAGCACTTGCTCGAGCAAGGTCTACCTCTGATGGCACCAGTCGACAGCCGACCGCAATGGCAGCATCTTCTCAACGGAGCCTCGGTTCAGAAATTTCCCTGCTACGAGACGAACAAGCATCTTGTAGACAGAGTGCGATTCTGTGGAACGGTGCCGGAATCATAGGCATATGTCGGGAAACCTTTCCGCATCCGTCGACGTGACCAACACCCAAAGAAGTTAAAAGCCCTGGGAGATAAACCTTATAAGTTGAAGACGTGCCCTCTAGACATCAACCCAGCCTCAAAGCCAGAGTCCACGCACTCTCCAGCAGCACTTTGTCAAGGAAGGCCTAGCAAGTGTGGGTTTGGGCTCTCATATTTGCTCTTGATCCATCCAACAACCTACCCGTAGCTTATCCTGGCAGCATCTGATAAAACTCATGAGGTACCAATGGGAGACCTGATCCGCTGCTCTTGAGCGATAAGACGGTCATGAGGCGGCCTTTGCTTACCGCCCTGTAGGGTTGTCATGTCCGAAGTCCTACACGCCACAGTGTCTCAGACCCTGTCAAACTGGGTTGGTAGTTGTTTTTGGTAAGACACTGTTCGTAAGCCATAACAAGCATTCCTCTGCCTTTCAACTACGCCGTGCCTGGAGATCAATCCCTCTGGGGTAAGCCTGACATGACCCCGATTGCAAGCCCTAGACTGCGCTACCTTGTGCCTGACCATAACCCAGGAATTATATAGTCTTTTCTTTATCAGAAAGTGGCTTTTGATGCGAAATGGCATCAAAAAATGGTGCCGCAGGTTTCCATTCTGGAGGTTGTGCCCCAGAGCTGTAACCCCTCCTCTGCGTTTCTCCAATACGACTCGAACATGAGCCCTACAAACCCCAAAGTTCCTTTGTATGGTTTCTACATAAGAGGCCCTTTACACCACTCAGAAATCCTAGAGTCAGTGGCAACATGTTACTTTTTTCTAGAGGTTGACGATGTTTTGTTTCAACGCCCTTGTATATCTCCAAATAACCAGCTCTGGCATAGGCAAATCAAGTGTCTTTCTTACTGGATCTGGATACTGTGTGGCGGTACTGTCTTTAGTGTCAGTTTTCGGATGTCAAAAATGCGTGGATTTGAAGCCTTACAAGTGGCATCTGTGTTTTGGGGTTGCTGCCATCTGTCCAAAAACCATTTGTCTCCCAAAGCTTCAAGACTTGCATCTCAAAATGCCAACTACATGCGATGCCTGGCCTTCAACAATTCCCTGAGACCTAGTCTGCTGAGATTTGGGATCCCCATCGTTTGGGCGCCTTTCGATTTCCTTTCGATATCAACAATTACTGAGGGCTATCGCTGAAGAGCTCCCAATCGCATAGCTGATTGAAATCTATTGCATATGCTAACATGCTAACACGAATGCGAAGACTATCGCTCATACAGACCACACCTATTGAATTGCTGGAGGGTGCTTTGAGAGTTGCATTTTGGAGGATGCCCCTAAATTAATAGTTGGCGGCCCCAATTTGCCAACAGGGTCCAACATGAATCAAGCAAGAACAGTGTTTCGTTTCTGCGTCACCTGCAGTGTTCGCTCTTTGCTGGATCAATGTTGGCTCCAGTTTTGTGAGTCGGCCTTCCAATCTCTTCCAAGTTTTGGGCCTTCCCTACCGATCCTTCTAAAAGGGTTTACAACCTGGAGGCAGACTTCATGGAACGCCTTAGCAGTATTCATCGGTCTTTGCACCATGTGGACGCTCGCCAGAGCAGATGCGTATTTGCAGGCCAACACTTTCAACAAGCAATTGCTGCCCTTAGGCGGTCAGCAAACCCTAGAAGCCTACAAATGTGCGCACCCTTAGAGTTTACCTGTGTGAACCCTTGCCAGGTACTGCTTTTATTTGTGCGACTTCACAAGCTCACAGGCCAAACAGGAAGCATATCACCGACCGAAAAATGTCCAAGTTGAAGGTTCACTCAGCATGGCAGGTCGTTTCATTTCAGGGGTAAGCGGGCTGAAGCTGACAGGCTATACGTGCATCCCGCAATCACCCCAACTCTCTGCAGCCACACGTCCAGCCCCTCTTCCCTCCCAGACACGCTGTAGACTCGGAAGGGGTTTGTAGGGTAGGCAAATGAGGGGTTTACATAATACACTAACAGGCGGCAAAACCATCCAAACTCAGTACTTTTTCTTGCTCCAGGTTGTGCAATATAGCACTAGACGCATATGACGCAAGCTCATTTTGCTGTTGTGCTTTTGTATCCTTATTCCTGCCATGCCAGGTTGGCATTGGTAGCCTCAATGTTTCGATAGCAGCAATGTGAAAAATGCGCTAGCAGAAGCTGCCGTGGTCTTAGCAGATCGTAGCTTGCGAGGAAGCTCGTTTGACAGGTACCTGCTATTTGAACGAGGTGGGCACAGGAATTTAGCATGTGAAAATGGCAAGTTCGAGGTGCGCTGCGTGAATTATCAGACTTTTTTTAGAAACTTTGATTTCGTGACGCAGGGTAGGAAAGTCAGCAGGAGAAGGCTTCTCAAAGCTGTTGCTCTTTTTCGGATCTTTAGCTGTTTTTTTCGGAGTGTTTGCATTGCATGCTAGAGGGGCTTCACACGGGAAGCTCCTTCAAGTGCCAAATCTCTAGACATCGCGAAAACGCAGGTGTCCCCACTCAGGGTCGGGGTCCGATGGGCCATTTTGCAGGTCACCTCTCCCTTGGCTTCATAAGGTCGCATTGAGCCAGCGTGATTCCTGAGAACGCTGTTTTCAACCAGCGTAAGTGGCACTGTTTCTGATTGCTCTCAGTAGTCACCGGGCACGCCAGGAAGGTCATCGGGCTGATCAGGAAAGCTAGCGACAGCTAGGCTTGCGTTTCTTCTGCACGATTGTTTCCAGTGCTGTGCTGATTCACAAGCCAGGGGCGGAGGGGGGACAGCCCTTAAACTTTCACAGCAAACTGGTTGCATGTGGGGGGGGGGTTCAGTCTCGATATGTTCTCAGGAAAGGCCCGGAGCGGGGGGGGGTCCGTGCCGTGCTGATACGCGGCTACCTACTAACAAAGGACAACTTCCACCCTGCCCATCCACGGGAAGCTTTAATTGCGCCTGGCTTGCCCCATCAGAGATGGCTCGATGTTCCTGAGGGCTGTGTTGTTTGATGCACGCGGCAAGTAGTATCAAAAACCAGCCTCGGTTGCCGCACCTTGTGTCTATATCCTTGAGTGGCAGGAGCTGGACTACCGAATGCTTAGGATGGAGAGCGCGACATCTAGCATGACACGTATGTTTTAAAAGGTGCCGAGATGGAAAGGTGGTTATTGCCTGCGCGTGAGCTCCAAGTGCATGGCAGTGCTTTGAAAGCTAATGGCTGGGTGGACGTAGAAAAATCGTTTTCCCTGTACATGAGGTTTGAACGCAAGCTTCTGAATGTGTGTTGGATATGTGTCAAGACTTGTCTGTGCTTAGGGAACGATGTCAATCATAATCGGGTTGATGTGAGTTCATGTGGGCTTGATGTGGCTACACTGCCGGTCGCCTGTACACATAACGATGAGCAACAAGGTGACTTTTAACGCGTTGATGTGACATAACCCGCCCCTTGCAACATTGCAGCAACACCGCAACAAAACTCTCATTAAAACAGGAACATGCAAGGTGGCCCTACAAGCTTGTGACCGGATCCCACAGGGGAAGTTTCTGGCCTGGCCCCGCACCTGGGTTCCTTCAGAAAACAGCTCTTTGTGTTTGCCATAATCAAAACCCATGTGACACTACTGTAGCATCAACCACACCCACCCTTGCACCCCGTAAGACTGCCTATTCCCATGTGTTGTGCTACGTAGCACGGGTATTCAACGTTCGGGTTGCAGCCGGGGTTTAGCAATGGGAATGTCTCCTGTTGTTCCTGCTCAGTTTTGCGGTTTGGGCTGCGTTGGACGCAGGCAAGTAAACGCGCTTCAACCTTCTGGGGTTAGGGGCAACAAAGGCCTTGTACCTTTCAGGCATCTGTACCAAATGCATTGCCCTATGAGGCCTGTTTGTAGCATGTGAGTAAGCCCCAGCACCCTTTCAAGTATACTTGGTCTTCTCAGACTTTTACAAAGTAAGGTCTGGCCCATATGCAACACCACAGATCCGGTGGAACCCAACTTAGACGCCTTCGGTCATGACGTGCCTTTGTACAACAAGTCTGAGATGTGACTGGGCCGCTTTGGATCATAGCACCCCACATTGGCCATCCCTATCATCCATGTGCACCACCCCAAAGTGGCACAGAGAGCTTCTCATTTAATGTATTTTTGGGCTTGCTTGAGCTTTGTTTTTGAGGCTCAGGGTCTGAGAATTGCAGTTTGACCGTGAAACACAGTCAGTATAAGGGATGTATGTAAGCAGAAACAAGGCCCATGGTTTGATGATTTTAAGAAGTCGTCTGCACTTTTAGCACGTTTAGTAAGGGATTGATATGGGTAAAATAAGGAGCCCAGGATGTGAGAATATTTTGGGTTGGATTTCCCCGAGAATTCGCAGGCTTTCCATAGATGTTGGGTGTGCAACATTCGGTAAAACTCATGACCAAGGACATGGTAATACATGGTAGCATGGAGACCGCTAGGGGGTAGCTTGCTTACAATATTGTTTAACTACTGAACGTGGGGCTTTGAGGGAGTTCGAATATGTATGTGTATATATATATATATAGGTAAAGGTATATACGGTCTCTTGTGGGGAATGTTTCGTGTTAGTGTTTGGGTATCTGACATAAGTACGAAGTGCTTAAAATCTTCAGGAAAAAGAGGACCTTTGTGGAGGACTGCGGTAGCGGCTGCCTCTTCAACGTGGACAGGGATCCCAGGGAGCTGATGGACCTTGCTGGGGATTCTTGGTGGGGAGGTATGGGTTGAGGGGTGATTCTTGAACGAACTTGAAGACTTTGTGGGAATGTCTCCCTGTCATTTTCATGGAATATAAAATCATAGCTTTGTCTACCTCTAATATTAGTTAAAATCCTTACACTCCAGGGCTTCTTGAGAACAATGCTTCGAGGGAGATAAATATGGCGGTTTAGGGTTTGGCGTTTCGGGTGTCGTGTGTTGTCTTCATTGGTAACGGGACTGTTTTCCAGATCTTTGCTTTTCGCGCCATCCTGCGTGCAGCGCACCTGTTTTCATGTGTGGCCGGGGGACTGCGTGACCTGGATTTGCATTCAGTACTTGTAATCTTGTGGCTGTGCGGAACACGGAGTCCGACACTTCTTGCAGCGGGTTATGTACGCTCATAGGTATACGTTGCTGCTTTTGCACTTGTATTGTACTCACGTCTACTCATGTCTACTGTGTCTGCAGGGCTGGTAGCGGTTCTCTGTTCCAGCCTCGGCCGGCGGTCTTCCCCTTGCAGAACTTGTGGTTTCACTTCCGGCCCGGCACTCTTGATGCCTTCTTGGGTGTAAATGTTTGGAACAGAACACGTGCATACCCGGCTTAGCTCCTTTAGCCAAGGAGGCCAGGTACTCAGCCGTGCTTGCCAGCCTCCAGCAGACCCTGGCGTCTTTGAATGCCAAGAACAGCGAGGCCAGTGAAAACAAAACATCCAAATATGTTGGGTTTTCTCGTCGAATAGATCGCAATGGGTAGATCAATATCAGTTTCACTGAGTTGTCAGCGTGATGGTTACTTGCAGTTGCATCTCGTCAGACTTGAATGTTGCGATCCCGCGAGATCTCATAGGACCAAGTATGGCAAAGCTTCATTAAGCCGTACATTACACCAACCCCCAAAGCCTCAGCAACAACCTAAAAGTGGCCACGAACCCGAAAGTAGACATGCCTAAGTTCCGGGCACGAGCGATGTAGGGCGAGCAGGCCGTTGAAATGAAGTGGAAGAGGCAGGAAGCATGAAATGTCGACACAACACGCAGGCACCAAGTGAGGAAAGAGACAGAATTATCCAATGAGAACCTGGATGCACGCGAACCGAGCATATGCTGAAAACACCCGTGCGATTGTGGATGCCAGACGGCGCGCGACAACCACGAACCCTTTGCGAATGCTTGACATAGTTTCAATGAGTCCGCTTCAACTCATTGCCCGCCTGACCGGCACTTTGGCATAATGGATTTGCCATGCGTGCAGCCTGAGGCGGCTACTGCTGATGAGCCAGCAGTGGAAGCCTGCTTAAAGGCTGCAGAGATGGGCGTGCTGGGGCCATTTGCATTTGCCGAGGATCTTGATGGTTTCGAGGGTGAAGGGGTTTAGGGTCCAGAAGGCTTAGGGAAAAGGAGATTGGGATTACAGAGGGCATAGATCAAAGGTTAACCTTGAGTAGGTTAGCAGCTTCAGCATACATCGCCTGGCTTCCCAGATGGGGTCCTATGGGAGGACTTCTACCTGGCTGCGCCACAGCCGCCCTTGTCGAAGATCCAGCAAGACAAGGAAGAAATCCTGGAAGTGCAGGCAACCCTTCACAACGAACCGAGCCTTCGCTCCATTGTTGCTCACCCATCCTTTCTGGGGGTTTGTCAACATGATCGTACGGCCGCCAAAGCAAGTATTGTCCCAGAACTGCATGTTTATGCCCTCATGTTTCTTTTCATGAGTTTACAAGCCATCTTGTTGGCTCAAAAGCCCTTCCATTCCACTTTGTTGCGATTTTCGAATTGCTTCTGGGTGCACACAAGATACTTTGCTTGTGTTTGTCACCACAAGAAATGCTTGGCGCCTTGCAAGTCACAGCCTTGCGTCCATGCACAGTGCAATTTGCACAAAGCCTGCGATTATCATCCACAATTGATTTCTTTTCTGGCACCTGTGGTACGGCCTTCTTGGTTTATTTCTGGCTGTCTCGACATTGCTTTTGATAAAGCTTCGTTTAGCAGCCCAAAGGCCTGCAAGCAAACAAAAGCCCTGACTACGCATCTTCTTTACTTGAAGATCCCACATGTCTTTTGCCTGAACGCCCAACACCAAATATGGCAACCCGAATCAAAATCCAAACCTCCCGTGATTATGAATTTGCTTTGACCTGTTCCTCCAACAGCTGCTCCTCTGCATTGGCTTTGGAGATCCCTTTGGGTCCTTGGCTCTAAACTGAATCTAAAAGATACCACGCCCTGCGAATGCAGCCGCAAGCTATTACTCCTGCTCCTACTCCTACTCCTATGACTAGTACTTCTACTGCTACCACCACTACTGCTGTTGCTACCTGTAGTACTACCAGCTTCTTGTCATATGACTATTGCGAGCATTGTAACTGTTATCATGGTTGATTATTTTTGGTTTGGGTTACCACTGTTGGTATGGCTAGGCGGCTAGCCCTTGTGTCATGTGCAGTTCTATTGTCACTTGTTTTGAGTTGTTTGTGCTGATAACCCCGACCTGAGGAGCCTTGGCACGTTTGTCGCATACAATGTCTTGCTACCTCACATGAAGCCAGATGTGGTCTGCTTGTCGGGCGATTGAACCTATGACGCTGCCGTGCTGCAGCCGTGCCTTTTTGCGATATAGACCAACGAGCAAGAGGGGTTTTGTAAAGCACCGGGCTCCCCACGCTTTCGTTGGCTGGCAACCATATTCACCCACGCTTGCATACGTCAAAGGCGCAAGAGATGAAGGGGGGCGCACAAGGCGCTTCTTCAAAGTTGAGGCGGAAAAACCCAAGCGTCAGACGCATATGCTTGTGCTGCGCAGCTTGCATTAGGAATGGCCGGGTGTTGTTGATTTATGGCTTAGGGATCCACATGTTGGTGGAACCAGTACAGGACGGGAGGCATCTGGACATGGAGCATAGGGCCTGCAAGCACAGAAGGCAGCTAATGGTTCTAGCAAAATCAGGAATGGCACAAGTGCAAGGTTATCTGTTTGGCTGTTAGGCGGGTCGGCTCTTGGACGCTGCTGATTTTTCCATGGATCTGTTGGCAGCCGCTAAGTTTAGGACCCATAGTGCCTCACATGATTTGGCCTTGCTTGTGTTATAAACCAATGACAGACATGGGAACAAGCAGGAAGGTACATTTAAAGCGCTCATCATTTAGACCTCAGCGGGAAGCGTACTTGTAACACCGAACGAGTTTGCGTTTCCGTTGACGGGTCAAGCCCCGAGTTGGTGCGTAGCAGCACAGGCTTGATGACATGATATTTCTTCCTATTTCATGGGTAACTCCAGCGACAGATCCTTGTCTCCGCTTTGTCTCTCTTCGTGGGTGGCTCTCGCCGGGTTCTTGGGCTCCTTGTCTCCCGTTGCCGCCCCTCATGTAGGCGTCTCGCTGGGTTCTTGGGCTCCTTGTCTCTGGTTTGTCTCCCTTCATGTGGGTGGCTCTCACCGAGTGCTTGGGCTCCTTGTCTATGCTTTGTCTCCCTTCATGTTTGTGCTCTTGCTGGGTCCTTGGGCTCCTTGTCTGCGCTTGGTCTGCCTTCATGTAGGCATCTCGCCAGGTTCTTGGACTCCCTGCCTCCGCTTTGTCTTCCTTTGTTTGCCTTCACGTGGGTGGCTCTTTGCCTTGGGCTCCTTGTCTCTGCTTTGTCTCCCTAAGCTCCTCTGAGGCCGAAGTGGGCACCCGGGACGTCTCCCAAATGCTTGGGCTCCAAGTCTTCTGGGATGCAAGATGGCTGTAAATCATTGGCGAAAGCTGGGAAACTCTTTGCGCGTAGTTGCACTTAAGACTTAGCTACGACACAGCGACCGTGGAAGCCATTGGCCGCTTGACCGTTTCCAATGTTTTTTTTACACTTTCGGCTCAAGTGCGGAACAGGCCGAAGTGACCGAACCGTTTTTGCAGATGAGGATAGCCTGGCAGCTTCCCAATGCAGATCCCCTTGCTGCTTTGGTGCACATCCCTGCCCTTGGTGGCCTCAAATCGCCACAACTCAGGCTCTGAGCTTGTGCAGGAGACCATTTGGGGCAATTGTTGTTCAGTTACTTGTAATGAGTCTGTTGGAGATGTTCGGCGGCAGTGCACACTTGCAAGGTGATTCGGAGATGAATGCAGTCAACTTTTTGCAGACGGGTGTGGCGACCTTTGTGTGTCCTGGCAACAATCCCTTCATCCTCGAACGTGCGCAGCGTCTTGCCTGGGCATTTGTCCGCCCGCCCGCGGACAGGTTGCCTTGCACGTGCACACACGCGTTTCCTCGCACTCTCCGTAAAAGCCTCTCACTTGTATTCAGGCGCCCTTGTATAAGTATTATAGTACACCCTATGTAAAGGAGAAGCCCTCCTGCCATCTCCCGTCTCGCCATGGTGAAGGTTTGAACACCGCATTTGTTTTCATCAAGTCTGGCTAAGTTATGCCGGCAGTCTAGGAGTAGGTTAATGGTGTTAGTAGTGGTAGTAGTGGTGGTGGTAGTAGTAGTAGTAGTAGTAGTAGCAGCAGCAGCTGCTGCAGCAGTGGACAGTTCAGACGAGAGTGTCCACAAAATATCAAGCATTCGGAACCAGCGCTCATGATGCGACAAGCCGACGCTGACTGGAGCCCAGCTGTCCTTAGGCTCACTGCATTTTGTTGAAACTCAGGATGGATAAACGTGAAGCGCGAACGCGCCACAGGGTATATGGCCTTGAGATGTTCAATCAGTATGATGCACGATTCAGAGAAAACACGACATGGAGAAGAGCCAGTGCCCGACATCCTTTCTTTTCCTGCTGATTGATACCCACTAAGACTTGGACTTTTTGCGTAGCATTGCTTCGCTGTTTTGAGCAGAATCCCCAGGTCACCTTTGGCGGAAGCTTGCCTACGCTTCATGCACATACCCAAGCAACCAGACCAAAGTTTGCAGCACTTGGTGCTTAGTTGGGATGATGCCATCTTACGTAGTCAGTTGTCCTTTAGAAGCAATGAGAACAGGGAGGGTGATGCATTCTACGAGTCTAGTGCCATGGTTGTACAGGTTTCAGCTCGCAGTATTGCTAGTGCATGTGCTTACTTTCTGGGAGCTATTGGAGGACAAGTGCTCCAGGTACTGTAGGTCCAGCCATCCAGGTTCAGAGGAGGTTCGGGTTTAGGGTTCTGGGTTAGCCTGCTCTGAGAGCTTGGCCTAGGCAGTCGGTGGCCCATTCCAGGCGGACTCGGAAAGCCTGTTGCAAAAAGGGTTCTGGGTTTACACAAGGAACCCCGAGGTTCATATGTACATACTTGCCCCCCCTCCCCACACCCCCAATTTTTTGGGGGTAGGCGCACACGTACATACGCACGTACTTACCTACCTACCTACCTACCTACCTACCTACCTACCTATGTACCTACCCTGTCCTAGACACATGTAGGTGTGCTACCCTGCATACTAACATACGTACGTACCCCACCCCCACATCAGGTACGTACGTACCCCACTCCCACCCAATTTTTTCTCGGGAATACCCTTTCTAGCTTAAGCCTTACACCTTACATGCCTAGCACAGCCAGCCGTACGTACTATAATGTACGTAACGTACGTACATATACATTCCCTGTCCCTTCCCCACCCCCAATTTTCTTTCAGGGGTAGGCGCATACGTACGTACCTACATACCCACCCTATACTTACTTATGTACCTACCCCTTCACAGGTATACTACCTACTACCTTGTACGGATACGTACTAACATACGTACGTACCCCTCCCCCACCGCCAACTCAGGTACCCCACCCCCAATGTTTTTCAGGGGTAGGCGTATGGGTACGTACCTACCTACCTAACTACCTACCGATGTAACTACCCTTTCCTAGACATACGTACTACCCTGCACTTACGTACTAACATACCTACAATAACCCCCCCCCCTGCCAACTCAGGTGCGTACATACACGTAATTACACGTACATACATACCCCACGGCCCCCTCCCGCCCCATTTCCACCTGACATGCTCCTACATGCCTAGCATGGCTAGCTTTACGTACTATAACGTATGCAATGGACGTACGTACAACCCCCCCCAACTACGTACATACATACACACATACATACATACCTCCCTGCATGCGTACCTCGCATGATGTATGTGCTAACGTACTAACGTACCTACCGGTACAGGAACGTATGTACGTTCGTGCCCCCCCGCCCTGGGGTCCTTACCGGGGGTGTAAAGCCTAATTGTCCGACTGAGGACTGGGGGCACCAGCATCGACTCCGTTGCAGAGCTTTGATTTAGCTCTGACATCCGGGCTTTAGGCGCAAGCAGTCTCGGTAGTGCATTACGTTTCTGTCGTTCCAGGCTGTGGGGTCAAGATGGGATGTAATGTTTTATCTGAGACAGAGGCAACCCCAAGGTCCTTGGACCCGCAGCTCTAAGGCTAACCTGCACCTCCCTCCGGGACAGCGGGCTTTCGACTCCTACATGCTGCACACATATGATCGAATTGCCGAAGCGGACCAGATAGATGAAAAGGAGCCAGGGAACGGTTAACATCGGTGGACATGCGGATTTGACCCAGTGCCCTCATTGATAATTGGCCCATGTTAACCCCTTAGTCCCAAGCCCCAGGACTTGGGAAATCTCTTTGACTTCACTCATTCAAGCTGGCGGGTGTACACGCCTTTCAAGAAGCTGCACAGACGTTTGTACCATTGGCTGCCGCCCGGAGGGATGGATCAATGCCAGGATGTACACACACCACCCTCCCGGAGTGCCGCAGCAGTTTCAATTTAATCAGGTTCGAGCATATGTAGGCTAAAGCTAAGGGGCACAGCTGGCGTAGCAAAATCATTGATCAACGACCTCACTTATGCCCTAGGACGTGTCGAGTCTTCTTGAGCATCAGAACCCAAGGGGCAGAGAAGCAATAGCAGTCGTAGTTGTAGCCATGTAGCCGTAGCCGCCGCCGTCGTCGTCGTTGCCGGTGTCGTCGTCTTTGTCTAGCGCTCCGAGAGGCTGAATTCACCCGGAGGGTCGTCGTTCGTTAGCGCTCCGAGGCAGCGAATCCATGCAGACGGTCCACAAATCGATGTTCGGACGCTCATGACGATTTTGCGGTTCTTTTAGCTGTGGGCCTCGGAAGGCTCCGAATTTGACATCCCGCTCAGCCTGCGGCAAGCAACGAAACTAGATGCTTCGTGTGACGAAAGTCCTGCGCTTGCCAATGAAAGCGACATCTCGGCCACCTGAAGATGTCCGCATCACCACCGGCGCTGTGGGATTAGTACGATTCTTGTCGCAAACGTAAGCATTTTTTGAGGAATAGCGTCGGCGTCAAGCACACGCCGTCCGGTGCGCCGTGTGGCAACCTCAATCTCGCTTTTAAAATTACGATCGACGACCCTCTGTGGGGATTCGTTCTCTGGTGGTCTCCTAAGTAATTTCCTGGGGTCCCCTCATGGTCTTCTGGTTTCTCTTCGTGGTCGCCTAGGTGATGTCCTGGTGGTGTGCTCTCCTGGTGGTCTGTTGGGGTCTCCTCATGGTCTTCTTTTGGTCTCTTCAGTGATGTCCCTGTGGTCTCCTGGCGTCCCTGGTGGTCTTTTTCCCGGTATTTAGTCTCCTAGAAGATCTCCTGGTCGTTGTCGTCGTGTTCCGCGTGTCCTCAGCGCTTGGCATGCTCTTGGAGTGCTATTTTGTGTCCCCATGTGGTCTCTCATTGACTGGGGTCTAAGCATAATTAGTATCATTTGTAATTCAGTATTACTATTAGTATTGGTAGTATTAGTATTAGCAGTACTGTCTCGGGCCTTGGTTATTCAGAAGACTAATTGTTGTGAATGCGCTGCCAAATTCGCTCTCGTAGCCGTCATGATCCGTGCTTGTTCGTGATACACTGAAACGTACGAGTGAGAGCGCTGCGCTTGTGCCTAGTTTGGCCGCTTGCGCGCGTGGAAAATCTGAAGCTTCAAACCCTACGTCGGCAGAATTCGTGCAATCTCCAGTTACAAATCCTATGTCGGCAGACTGAGTGAGGAATCTCCATTTTCAAATCCCAGTTCAACAGAACGTGTGGTAAATCATCTTTAGTTTCCAATCCCATTTTTCGCAGAATATGTTGTCAATGTGTAAATCCCTAGTTACAAATCCCATTGCAGCAGAATGCGTGGCAAATCTCTGGTTTCGAACCCATTTCCTAGTCGCAATGTAGTTTCCAACCCCAGTTTCAAATTGCACTCTAAAGGAAGGGAAAGATTAATCAGATTCGGGTTCTGAGGTTCTGCTGTGGCTCTGTACTACCAAGAGGATCACTGCACTACTTTTTGTGTTGTGCGTGAGCCTTTGGCCCGATTCTGGAGTGCATTTCAGATGTTTTATTACGACGCTTGGCACGACACTTGCAGCGTCTGTTTGTTTGCCTAACATGAAGCCAGAAAGTGTGCTGAAGCAGGAAGGGAGCGAAGGGAGGCAATTCGACCAGTCTAGACGCTCGTTTCCACATGTGTTGTGCGTGTTGAATCTCTGGCGGCACTCAGGCGTGTGATCCCGAGTCCGTAGACAAGAAAGCACAGGAGCTTCTGTCCGACTTGCTTACCCGACGCTGTGCCAGCAGCTAATTTCCAGAGGTACGTGCAACGTGATTGGTTCAATACATGCTTGCGATTTCAGCAAGTTCGTCGTGCAACAGCATCACCATGCCACAGTGCATCCGCATTTTCTGCGCAGCTGCGCGCCGTGTGTTCTTGCTTGAGCCCAGTTTAAAATGTGGGATGTGGACCTGAGTACCGCCGTTATTGTTGGTGTGGAGCCTGTACCATCGCTAGGGCCGTACGAGCGCCAGTGCTTCTTCATGCTGCAAGTTGAGCAACTCAGCTCAAATCTGGATCAGCTCCATTGAGTAATCCTTGCTCTTGTGCCTTCGCCATTGTTCTCTGCTTAGGCTGCTCACTTTTGAGAACACGTGCTTGGTTTTTGAAGTGCAAGTACAGATCCGTTGTATACCTTTTTCCTTTTTCAATTGGATGTCGAGGTTCCACGTGTGCAAATTGAGAGAGCAGCCTTTGTCAGACAAAGAGGAATCATCTTGGCTTGAGAGTGGTTCAAGTTCAGGAGCATATATGGCGTGACCAATAAGACCGCCGCGACTCACCAGTATTGCAATCGCATCTTGCATCAGGAGAACCTCAATCAGGAGACTCTTGGCTGCGTCTGGTGCAAACCTGTCCACCCGAAACTACCCCTACTGGTTCTTTGCAGTTGGGGTGAATGTGGGTACTACAGGGACGGGATGATTACAGGGATCCACTCCACTCCCTTAAGCACCAGTAAGTATCCACTATCCCGTGTAGGGCAGGCCCGGGCCCAATGATGGCCCCACTTCAGTCACTTCGTAGTTGAAGGAAAGGATTTGAAGGTGTTCTAAATCGATTTCAATTGGTTTTTAAAGGAATTTTCAGTAAATTTCAATGATTATTGAATATTTGCGAATCGTCCCTAATTAGGCCTTAATTACGTAGAGTCCCCAATAAGGCCCTAAGTAAATGCATTAATTCCATTAATTCATTCGTTATCTAATTCATGCAATTAAATAATGAATACATAATTAATTAATTGATTTTGCATTAACTTTAATTGATGTTAAAAGGAATCTAAAGGGAGCCCTACCAAATCCTTTCAATAAATATCCACCCCTAATATATGTATATATATGTTCACATTCTGTATATATTTTATATAAGCAGGCTTATATATTCAGCAGTAAACGACAACGTACAGCTTTATTGGGTTCAAGTTTTTTTTGGAGGGAAGGGGGGATTTGTTTGAAGCTAGAGCAGCACATGTTAGGCCCGTTAGGCCGTCACACGATTCCTCGATCCTGTGCCAGGTTTGATGCACTTATGGCAGAATTTGGACGCAATGTGGAACTGCCTGAAGAAGACATGATGTCCAACTGGACAGACAGCTGCAACATGACAGTGGCTGACCTGAGACCGGAAACCAAAGCAGCCGTGTATGAGCGGCTGGGCGGCAGGCATCCGCTTAAAGTGGTGCGTTTGTTTTTTGTTTCGCATTGGGCGGCATTCTTGGGAGATAATATGCCGCAGACTCGGCCCTGATGAAATCATGGCATCCCCTTCCCGGTGCTCTCTGCGTTACGGTGCTGATTGTAAGGCTGCGTTGATTTCAGGCAGGGCTTCGACTTTAACAGCCTGGTTTTGCAATACACTCTGACCTGCCAACAATTGCAGGCCAGAGTCGTTATTCAATCGTTCTAAACGTAATAGTAATAGGAAGAGTAATAGTAATAGTAGCAGAGCAGCAGCAACAGCTAAACGCAATAGTAACACTAGTAATAGTAGCAGAGTAGCAGTAACAGCAACAAGAACAGCAATAGTAGCTTCCGCTAGACTGGCATTGCGACCATGGCTGCAATAGCGGGAATTGAGGGTTGAATGGAAGCAAAACCTCGCTGCACTAAGGTATTTCAAGGCAGACTACGAGGCTTTTGGCTACCCGAAGCCAGACTTTTGAGTTTGAGCGGCAAAACCTGCAAACTTTGGCTCAGGCGCAATCAGGTGCATGTGTGCCAGTATCGGCATGAAATTAGACGGTGCGCGGTCCCAGTAGCTTGAGACTGCCGAAGTTAGTGGCAAAAGCCGTATAAACTTGGCTGTTCCAGTCAGGCCAATGTGAGGCCTGGCGACCTTGTGGTTCTTTCATGTCCTGATGCCGGTGCCAGCATGCCAAAAGACGATGTGCGGATCTTTTGCTCAGTTGTTAAATACTGAGGAAGGCAGGTTTTTTGCAACTGCTATCCATTTCCGTTGCGATCTTGCTGCTGACCTTTGCCCTGGGTCAGACTCACTGCACTCTTGCGTGAATAGCACAAGTTGTTGCAAAATGCTCGCCAGAGTGCTCGAGAACCAAACCGTACCGATCATTAATATGGTTCCCATGGCACGGCTTTTGGCGTGCATCGGCTTGGCTGCTGCCGAGCTTTATGAGACGGGGAGCGGGGAAGTTGAGTTTCAGCAGAGCCTGCTGCAACATGCCGCACGGGTTTCGAAGGATGAAACCATTTCGATTTGCGATACAGTGACGACACCTGATCCGTCACCTTTGGCAACCTCGTTGAACCACGGGAACTTCTATATCATTGCACTCAGCAATGACACTGCCCTAAACCCGACCTCAACAGGTTATTTCGACAAATACAACCTCAGGACACAGTTGCGAGGGAGCGATGAGCATCGCAGTCTGTATTTCATAAACTGGTGGATGGAGAGCGACGATCCATCTTCCAAGTGGGTCTTTGAGGATGGAAGTCGAAACATTACAGATCCAACATCTTTGATGAAGATGGCTGTGAAGGATGCCATCTGCTTGGAGCGGGGTTGTCGTTTTTCCCAGTGGCATGTAGAAGTATGGAAAGGATTTCCGCTCTTCATCAACTGGTCCTGCTCTGGATTCTATGTGGGCCACGAGGTCTTGTGGGGTGGGGCGCCTTCACATCCCGAGTTGCTTCCATATGCTTGGAGCCTTATCAAAGCTCCTCTGGCTGATTTGGGATAATAATCCTACTGGTTACGGGGAAGTGTGTGAGTGAATACATTATAGGGAAATTACATGCTGGATAACCTTTGACTTCGGACACATGAGGGAATGGGTGTCCCCAAATCCAGACATTCAGGCCAAAGGCGGAGGGATCGAGCGCTACCCGCTGAATGCGATCAGAACCGGCCCATATGACCATCCATGCCCCTGCGGTTTTTAGTTCCAATCCTTAGTTTCGTTAGTCGTAATAGTGAAAACACGAAGAATTGCAACAATAACAGTGTCAGTATTAAACATGGTAATAATTACCGTAGTAGACAGAGAAGCCATCCTAGCAGCAGTAGTAGTGACAGTAGGGGTAGCACTATGTAGCAGCAGGAGGGGTAGGAGGGGTAGGAGTAGCAGCAGCAGCAGCAGTAGTAGGAGGAGTAGTAGTAATAATTACAAATAAGTATTAGTTCAACTACTAGTACTCTTATAGTAGTGACGTAGTAGTAGTCGTCGTCGTTGTCGTACTGGCAGGAGTAGGAGGAGGAGTGGTAGTAGTAATTTAGGATCAGTAGTGTCACTCGTACTGGGTATAACTATTGTTCGTATCATGTGTCCCGTAATTTGCAAGAAGTTTCTAGGCACCCTTTAAGATTTCTCGGTTCCGAGATTAGGGTAGAGCACGCCATAAGCGCGTGAACATGTGTCTCGCAATCAAGCCCGAGCACCACTGCCCAGCACTGGTTGCGAGTACCGATTGCTGAGAGCTCGAAGTGCACCACATAAGGCCAGACTAGGGGCAAGTTCTTAATTATGGAAGTGTTGACATCACCTTAGACGGTGGAACTGCTGTTGATGATGTACCACCTTGCGACAGGGAAGGGAACCGTGGAGGAGCGCCTAGCAGGAGGGTGAGAGGTAAGACGACTTTTGCTTTAGGATGGCAAATATCACATTTCAAACCAAGCCCTTCAGGTTGTCTTTATCCCGGTATGAACAAAAGTCAACCCAAACCCAGCCGAGCCCATGAAAAGTTGTCTTAATACTTAAACGTTTTGATCCTTGCGTTAGTCGGAGCTAAAAACAAAAGTATGCTTGATCTTAAGAACTTGTTGATCCCTATTTTGCTACCTAGCAGGAGCGTCTTTGTTTACTTGTCTTCATTCCTCACCTATCTGTCGATCCCTCTTATCCTCTCTTTTTGCATCCTCAAGAGTATAGGCGAACACCTCTCTCATGCTCTGCCCCTCTTCTTTTCACTCTACCGATGGAAAGAGAGATGCGTGTGGTAGGATTTGTGATGCCTACTTCTCCCACCGCTCGTGTATAACTGTCCACATCCTCTTCCGGAGGCTAGTACGGAGGTGAGCAGGAGAACGAGGAAGAGGAAATGGCGTCCCCGTATTGATTCTCCCTTAAATGATGAGGGAGCACCTGCCGAATTCTCCCGTCTTCCTTTTCGCTCCCTCAGTTTCTTCAAATGGATACGAAGGAGGAGCTTGAGATGGCGGAGGAAAACTAATAACATAAGGACATAGCAAGCGGAGGAGAGGGGAGGTAAAGAGGAATGAGAAGGGGAGAACGAATCAGCTTTTTGCTTACTATCAGTATCGATGAATAATGCTTTTCTTCACCTTGACCGATATATGAGCTTCCGCACCAATGGTGTGTTAGACCCTAGTAATATGATGTTTATGCACTCCCTTCCTTCCTTTTCTTTCCTGTCCTTTTTCCTTGTCCTTTTCCTTCGCCTTCCCCTTCCATTTTATTTCCATAAGCCTCCCTGACAAGATAGTAAGGGATCCATGCACACGCCGCTTTCCTTTGCTTTCATCCTTTCCGTCATGGGGATGGAAAAGGGGTGCGGAGGAACCATCAAAAGGAAGAGGGGGGCGAGTTAGTTGTTAAATGCTGCTAAATGCCAATTACATGATAAATTCTGCTTGAGTGCTGGTTAAAAATGGCAATGCACTGGTACAAGGAATTATGAAATGCCAATACATGCCAGTTCGACACTATTGATTCGAGTTAAATGCCAACTACATGCCGGGTATCCTGCGAGGGCTCTCAGTGAGCAATGTGAAGATTTCACGTAATATGTACGCTTGCTCGCCAAAGACCACTCGCAGCCAGCTGTGTCTGCACGCAGTTTTTGTAACCCCGTTGATCCGCTGCGCGTGAAAAAGGGAGGGCGCTTAGAACCACATTTACAGCCAGTACCTGTCTTTGTCACGTGTTTGTCGTCATGCAATCAACATTCCACTTGAATCAAGCTCTGAATCGTAACTCGATCAAAACACTGATGGGAACAATCAACTTTCTCATCACCATCATGATGGCTGATACTGTTGTTACTGTTGTTGTTGTTGCTGTTGTTGTTGTTGTTGCTAATAGTATCAACAATACTGGCAATAGCAATAAGAAAAATGATGCTGCTGTTGCTGTTGCTGTTGCTGCTGTTGCTGCTGTTGCTGTTGTTGTTGCCTTGTGTGTCGGTGTTTGCTGTTGTTGTTGTTGTTGTTGTTGTTGTTGTTGTTGTTGTTGTTGTTGTTGTTGGTGTTGGTTGTGGTTGTTGTGGTTGTTGGTTGTGGTTGTGGTTGTGGTTGTGGTTGTGGTGGTTGTTGTTGTTGTTGTTGTTGTTGTTGTTGTTAAAGCCTTTCGGCGCAGATGACGAGACAAGCCTTGTCAAACAACGCTTGCTGCCATGGCTGTACTGAAACTGTCAAGCAACTGAGCTGTTCCGGTCCCAAGTCCGGAGGACGATATTCACGGAATTTTATTTTCGTCAGAGGTGAGGGTTCCGAGTTTGCGGAGCTCGGGGGAGTTTGGCACCCCTAAGGAGACGTCGGGTGAAACAGCTAGTCCGACGCGAATTCAAGCAATTAATGGAGCTCAGGTCAGGAAGAAGGCCTATGCAAGAGCTATTCGTCAAGCTGAGGCAAATGGGCTTACAACGTATAGGGGCCAACGCCTGACTTTGAGACAACTCGGAGCCACGCAGCGGCAGTCAGGAGAAACCACAAAACCCTTCCGCAGAACTTCTTGCGGCCTGGACATGCTGACTTGGAACTGCGGCGGGCTTTCCACCACGTGGACTGACAATCTCTCGGTCCTTTCAGAGGCGAAGTATTGCACAATCAGACTCTGCATGCTGGTAGAAACACAAGGGAAGGAAGAATCACAGTTCCAATCTCAGGATTGGAGGGTCCTGAGTCTAGGCTCCAAAAAGCCAAACGCGGGACTACTAATACTGGTGCACAGCTCGCTGTCAAGAATGGACGAGATTCGTTTCCAGCATGTAACTCCAGGCAGGCTGGCTCACGTGCGTCTACCTCATGAACGCACCCATCTGGATCTGATAGTAGAGCACCAGACGGTCATTCGGACAACAGTCTGTCAGCAAGACAACTTGGCACAAAGAGGATTGCTTCTCCGGTAAATGGGAACACTCTTTCGCTCGCTTCCCTCGCGCAATATGCTGGTAATGGCAGATGACATGAACGCATCCCTACTACCAGGAGCAGGAGTAGGGCCAGCAATCTTGAAGGGCACCGCGCCGCATCCAGACAGCGAGAGACTTACAACTTTTTTGTCTGATCACGGCCTCACAGCCTTAAATACTTGGGCTTCGAGACAAAGAGCAACATATGTCTCATCCCAGGGTTCTTCTCAGATCGATTATGTATTCATGAGAACCTGGCAAGCCAAGGGGGGCTTATACGGCTTAATTACGTAGACTCGGAGTTTCCAGTCGCAGTCTGGAGGCAAGGAGGGAAGCATCTCCCAATCAGAAGCAAAATCCCATACCAGTGGACAACAGAGAGCTCTACTCCACAGCCACAGTTTAACATCCAGGACATGGATGCAGCGGTTCGTCATCACCATCCGTCTGTTGAGCGATTGAAACAAGCCGTACGAGCCAATACAGATCATCTGTCGGCACCATTCGACTGGGACGAGCTGTCGGAAGCACTACTCTCGGCATCTCTCGGCTGCATCAGAATGCAGGCGGGAGCGACACCAAAGTACAGTTCTGGTACACCCATCTATCTGGAGGCGAAGAGCGATCGTCATCCGACTTCCATGTTGTCCGGCAGACGTCGAGCGATTTCTGACGAGGATGCCATCATGCTCTATTAACACCTGACAGAGCAAGTGGGAATGCGTTCCGTTTTAAGCTATGATCTTGTGCTAAGTTCACATCGCATACCAGCGGTGCATGAGATGTTCGCGCCGTTTCCCTATCTTGAATTCTGTATGAAATAGTTCTGCCCAGAGAAGATGTTCCATGTGTTACTGCTGCCTACTCAGATCTGCCATACACGTTATTTTCTGGGATAGCGAATTCCCAGAATTGACTTTGATGAGGTCCGCCCCTTTGTGACCAACTTTGACTTCTTGAATCTTGGGGTCGACGCAGTCTTACACGATGTTTGTTTTCACCTGGTGTGCCAACCAGGAAGTGCTCATCGACCCTATGTGGGCCAACGGCCTTATAAACACCAACGGCCTTATAACCTCGTGATCACAGGCCTATTGTGGGCGCGGCCGTCCACATGGTTGCTGGAAAGCAGGCAAGCGTGCTGGGTCGGCCTGTGCCATCGAGGTCGAATGGCATAAGCGCCGCCCACTGGGGCAGCAATGATTGCGCCAACTCCAAACAGTAAGTCAACACTTCCAGCTGTGGTCTGTGCAGTGCACTATAGCCACCTGTGCAGCCTTGCAGCCTCTTGGATAGCCACGCTGGCTGCATCCTTTTTGTACAGGCTGTTGTCTTAGGTGCTTAAAGGCGGGCGCCTGCTCATTATGCTCATGATGCCGTGACTTCTGCGTGCTTCAAAAGAAAAAACCCATATATATATATAATATAGGTAGTGTAATTCTTCTCGGTAATTTAGAAGGATTAAATTCAGGGCTAGGTTCTACTGCGGTGCTGCATCTGACTTCGGCCGCCTTCCCCGCAGCATATGATGTCGCAGGGCCAAGGTACGCCGCTACGTGAAGAGGTCGAGTTTATAGCGGAAATTTTGTACCAAAGGTGCGTTCTGCCAGACAGCGGACAACGGCTGTCTCGGACTGGGCGCATCAGCCCAAAAACTACTTTGCGGCACCTGGAGGCTAGTGAGTGCTTTGAGTGGTGTTGGCCGGTCCATGAGCCACGCTTTTTTACAAGAACGGCAGTCACTCAAGCATTGGGCTTGCTTCTAGAAAAGTATTCTGTAAGCATACCGT